ACAGCCACAGCCACAGCCACAGCCACAGCCACAGCCACAGCCACAGCCACAGCCACAGCCACAGCCACAACCACAACCACAACCACAACCACAACCACAACCACAACCACAACCGCAACCGCAACCGCAACCACAACCACAACCACAACCACAACCACAACCACGACCACGACCACGACCACGACCACGACCACGACCACGATCACGACCACAACAACAACAACAAACCAAGAACAAACCAACAACAAACCAACAACAAACCACCAACAAACCAACAACAACAAACAACAACAAACAACAACAAACAACAACAAACAACAACACACAACAACAATCAAAAACAATCAACAACAAACAACAACAAACAACAACAAACAACAACAAACAACAACAAACAACAACAAACAGCAACAAACAACAACAAACAACAACAAACAACAGCAAACAACAACACACAACTACAAACAACACCACACAACAACAAACAACAACCAACAACCACAAACAACAACGAACAACAACAAACATCAACAAACAACAACAAACAACAACAAACAACAACAACCAACAACAACAACCAATAACAAACAACAACAAACAACAACAAAACAACAAACAACAACAAACAACAACAAACAACAACAACAACAACAACAACAACAAACAATAACAAACAAGAGCAAACAAGAACAAACAAGAACAAGCGAGAACAAACAAGAACAAGAACAACAACAAGAACACGAACAAGAACAAGAACACGAACAAGAGCAAGAACAATAACAACAACAACACCAGCAGTAGCAGCAGCAACAACAACACCAGCAGCAGCAGCAACAACAACAAGAACAACAACACGAACAACAACAAGAACAACAAGAAGAACAACAAGAAGAACAAGAAAAACAACAAGAACAACAACAAGAGCAACAACAAGAACAACAACAATAACAACAAGAACAACAATAGTTTCAACAACAACAACAAGAACAAGAAGAGCAAGCAGAACAAGAAGAACAAGAACAACAAGAAGAACAAGAAGAACAAAAACAAGAACAATAACAAGAACAAGAACAACAACAACACCAACACCAACAACACCAACACCAACACCACCACCCCCACCACCAGCAACAACAACAACCACAACCACAACCACAACCACAAACCAGAACCGCAACCACAACCACAACCACAACCACAACCGCAACCACAACCGCCAACCAACAACAACAACCAACAACAACAACAACCAACAACCAAAAACCAACAACCAACAACCAACAACCACAACAACAACAAACAACAACAACAACAACAACACCACCAGCAGCAGCAACAACAGCAGTAGCAACAACAACAACACCACCAGCAGCAGCAACAACAACAAGAACAACAACAACAAGAAAAACAACAAGAACAACAACAAGAACAACAACAATAACAACAAGAACAACAAGATTTACAACACAAATTGCAACAAGAACAACCAAAAACCAAGAATCAACAACCAACAACCACAACAACAACAACCAACAACCAACAACCAACAACCAACAACCAACAACCAACAACCAACAACAACAACAACCACAACAAACAACCACAACAAACAACAAACAACAAACAACAAACAACAAACAACAAACAACAAACAACAAACAACAAACACAACAACAACAACAACAACACCAACAACAACAACCACAACAACAACCACAACAAACAACCACAACAAACAACAAAAACAACCACAACAACAACAACCAACGACCAACAACCAACAACCAACAGCCAACAACCAACAACCAACAACCAACAACCAACAACTAACAACAAACAACCAACAACCAACAACCAACAACCAACAACCAACAACCAACAACCAACAACAGCAACAACAAACAACAAAATAACAACAAACAACAAACAAACAACAACAACAACAACAACAAACAACAAACAACAAACAACAAACAACAAACAACAAACAACAAACAACAAGCAACAAACAATAAACAACAAACAACAAACAACAAGCAACAAACAACAAACAACAAACAACAAACAACAAACAACAAACAACACACAACAAACAACAAACAACAAACAACAAGCGACAAACAACAAACAACAAACAGTAAACAACAAACAACAAACAACAAACAACAAACAACAAACAACAAACAACAAACAACAAACAACAAACAACAAGCAACAAGCAACAACAACAAACAACAAACAACAAACAACAAACAACAAACAACAAACAACAAACAACAAACAACAAGCAACAAACAACAAACAACAAACAACAAACAACAAACAACAAACAACAAACAACAAACAACAAACAACAAAACAAACAACAAACAACACGCAACACACAACACACAACACACAACACACAACACACAACAAACAACCAACAAACAAACAAACAAACAAACAACAAACAACAAACAACAAACAACAAACAACAAACAACAAACAACAAACAACAAACAACAAACAACAAACGACAAACGACAAACGACAAACAACAAACAACAAACAACAAACAACAAACAACAAACAACAACCAACAAACAACACAACAACAACAACAACAAGAACAACAAGAACAACAAGAACAACAAGACCAACAAGAACACCACGAACAACAAGAACAACAACAAGAACAACAACAACAGCAAACAACTACAAACAACAAACAACAAACAAACAACAACAACAACAACCAACAACAAACAACAACAAACAACAACAACAAACAACAACAAACAACAACAAACAACAACAAACAACAACAACCAACAACAACCAACAACAAACAACAACAAACAACAACAAACAACAACAAACAACAACAAACAACAACAAACAACAACAAACAACAACAAACAACAACAAACAACAATAAACAACAACAAACAACAACAAACAACAACAAACAACAACAAACAACAACAAACAACAACAAACAACAACAAACAACAACAAACAAGAACAAGAACAAGCACAAAAACAAGAACAAGAACAAGAACAAGAACAAGAAGAAGAACACAAGCACCAACAACACCAGCAGCAGCAGCAGCAACAACAACAACACCAGCAGGAGCAGCAGCAACAACAACAACAAGAACAACAACACCAGCAGCAGCAGCAACAACAACAAGAACAACAACAAGAACAACGACAAGAACAGCAACAATCACAACAACAGTAACAACAAGAACAACAAGAACAACAAGAACAACAAGAATTTCAACAACAAGAAGAACAAGAAGAACAAGAAGAACAACAAGAAGAACAACAAGAAGAACAAGAAGAACCAGAAGAACAAGAAGAACAAGAAGAACAAGAAGAACAAGAAGAACAAGAACAACAACAAGAACAAGAACAAGAACAACAACAACAACACCAACACCAACACCCCCACCCCCACCACCAACAACAACAACC